TGCCTTTTAAGTCAGTTCTTTTAATTTAGTTTTTAAATACTAACCAAACCCAAGAGTCGTTTTAATAAAACCTAATTTAAAAGAATATCACAAAATGTTCCAGTAATTTGGGATACAAAAAATCATTATCATGGGAAATGTAAAACAGCTAATTCGTCTTAGCATTAGGCGGAGGAATATAATAATACCTACTTGCAAATAGAAAAGCAGTATGCGTGCGCGAACACGTGCCAGTGGAGAGGATATAGGAAAATTACTTCATTAAATTACTAAAGTTTGTTTTATGTGTTCATTGTGAAATGAAAAATAAGCTTTATTTTACTGCGTACTCTATGATCACGATTTTAGGCCTAAGCGCCTCTTGATTCAAAATAATCATAAGTTATTATGAAAGGTAATTAATGTCGTTTGCATTTTTTATACTTTCCTAAGCTCTGTTCCATGACGTGAACTGTCTGTTCTCACCAAGCTTTGCCACGAGCCGTGCGTTCACACAACTTTTGTTTGGAGTCAGGGGTAAACACATTAGGTAGTGTTTGCATAGGCGTCGGCATTACGAACTTGTTTGATCTTAAGACAAAACAACCGGGTTGTAATCAGGGTCAACATGGCAATTTTTAAATTATTATGATTGTAGAAAGATTAGGGATTAGAATGGCATTTTAAAAATCAATTAGATACAATACAGCCCTGTTCAAACATACCCAGTAAGCCTAGGTTGCGCGCTGCGATAATCTTTTATCGGGTCATTTTATCGGTTTTACGCGATAAGCCCGTACGTTTGTCGTCTAAAAATCCAATAAGGGTCCAATGACAGTTTAACTTTCCCCCGGGACAAACTTGACCTTCATTGGTTGGGTTTTTGTGGCGGTCAAGCTGTAGATCCTGGCTACACAGGAGTTGCAGTGGTGGGAACGAGAGGTGGGAATAGTCCCGTTTGTCGTCTAAAATCATCGATAAGATTTTATCACGGCGCGTCGGCTGGAAAAAGCATTTTCATGAGACATTTTCCTGTGATACTACTTTGCCTGGCCCATTCCCATTTTATTTGGGGTCGGCCCTCCGCGTCATGCGTCTCCAGGCGGCTTGGTCCTGGGTTGTCTTACTGTTAACTTGGGCTTCTTTAAGGTCGTTATTGATTACGGACATCCATGTAATTCGGGGTCTTCCTCGTCCGCGGGGCTTAGTAGACATTTTCCTGTGATATTGAAACAAAAATTAAAATATGTATTAAGTACTCAGGCCCTTTCCAGGGTACTTATACACATCCCAAATATAGCTCGCCCTAGGGCAAAGCTTGCCCCTTGTCAATGGGCTTTATACGTAATGGTAAAACGATAAACCTTAAAAGACCTTCCACGAACTTTACTACCTTTCCTTGAAAGGTGATTTTTAAAAATAGCATTAAGTGGAAGTGAAATTATCTACGATTTCTGGTCGATCCTTGATTTCGTTTAAAATAAATACCAGTGGCAGACTTTGATTTCTCAACAGAATTTATGTTAATTGAACTCTTACCTAGTTTAAACAAACCATAATTTATGTCAACGGTCAACAATTTCACCAGCATTGTGGATAACTTACTGATTAACTGCCTTTGCTAAATAATGCAGACAAAGCATTATTAACAAACAACTTAATTACTTGATACTGTTCAATGTTATCGTTAAGGAGTTTATACACCCTATACATAAATTAACAAGCAAACGATATTAATTTTGTTTCTATATTTGCAACGAAATTAATTTGAATCCTTTAAATGCCAAACAAGATATGTACTTATGCCTAATTAAGTACCTAGTTTTTAGATTTTTGAATTTATAAATATTTCTCGGTCATGATTTTAGAAAACTTGACGATATTGTTTGTGCTCGAACCTGTACCTTTCGCTTGCCATGGATCTGCTGCGACCACTCAGCGACGGAAGTGGTAAGCTAGTAGTAGTTTCCAATTGTATTTTCAGCGCCGTTTCATGTACTAGGGTAGAATTTACCTTTACAATTAAATATAAACACAAGAATGGAAGTAAACCAGTGACTTTTCAAAGTAACTTTCTTGATTCAAATCTCATTGAATAATATGTTTAACAAGATAATGTTAAACTTTGTTAAAAATAATAAGAAAGCTCCCAGTGAAGACGCTCCCTTAATTATGAGTTGAAGTATGTTCTTAGTAACAACATTATTAATTAAAACAATATGATCAATGAATGTTATGAAGAAAAAGATCTGAAAATAAAAATTATGTATTTTAAATGGTTCTTGGTAGTAACAGTATTGATAAAAAAAATATGACTACTAACTGTTATGAGCTCCGATGGTAGTAATAAAAATGTATGAATAAAAAAAGTATGAAAAATAAAATTATGAAGAGAGATTATTATGAACACAAATCGGTAGTAAGACAAAGAATAGGATTTAGAATTTTATGTGAGCCAATATAGAACCGTGATATAGATGACCCACGCTGAACTGTCCCACCAAACTCAATGACAGGGGGGCGCTACCATCGTTCAACTATATGGTTTCGAACATGGCAAAAATCGGAACCAGTGATCCGGTATTGACGGTGGCGCCCCACTGTCAATGTCATGCATAGGACAGTTCAGTATTTTGGAACTATACGGGTGTTAGTGATGGTCAAACGTCAGCGAGACTTCAGATTTGTAAGCCATTTCACGTCATAATTATGTCAAATCACCCTTTCCATGCCTCAAGCACTAACTGAGGGAAACGCTAGAGCTATAGGTATATTTAATTTTCAGAATCCCTTCTTTGTTACTTGATTATCAAACATCACTTTAAATATCATCAACACTACCGTTCATCCTTCGTAGACTATTCCTCTCAACAGCAACAACATGTTTTTATGTCCAACATGTAAACATAAATTTGAATCTATAATGAGTCTTCCATGTCTCTTTTCATTATTTATTAGTCCACACACAATTTAAAATCAATTATTATTGGACTATAACGTTCTGAGAACTGGCAAAATAATTAAAAGCGACAAAACATTATCATAATGGAAGACAATAAATCAGAAACTTAATATTTCAACACTTGTTTCGGACACGGCATCATTAAAATAAACCATTTATTAATTAGCATTAGCAATACAGATACGCTGACAACAAAAAATATTGTACTTTTAAGGGTTCCGTACCCAAAGGGTAAAAACGGGAGCCTATTACAAAGACTTCGCTGTCTGTCTGTTATAGTTCTTGCAACTCACGAAGGCGAATGAGCTTTGTGTGTGTAAGTGTACATGCACACAACGTTAGTTAATGTCTGTCAAAACTTTTGAAAAACTACCACACATGTAAAGCTCACTCGCCTTCATGGATTGCAACAACTATGCCAGGCTGTATCTCATGAACCGTGATAGCTAGACAGTTGAAAATTTTCACATAATATGATGTAATTCTGTACAATANTTATTTAATAAACACTAACCAAGTGTTTACTACTTCTGGTGAGGATGAGTTCAAATTTGAAGGTCACCGTACTGCTGGAAGGACCAGCAAGCAAACACGTACAAATTGCGTACTGCGGGCAGGACTTGCGATAATCTTCTGGCAGGACGTTTAGAACAAAAGACCAGTCCTTCCAGAAGAGCCTTCCAGCAGGACAAAGCACCGGGCGATCTATCATTAATTACTTCAATTTCAGAGAAAAGTGTGATTTTATTTTAATTTTTTAAATAAGTACAGAGAAAATTAACAATATGTATGACTCGTTAGTAACTCAGCATACATATTTCTCATATTTTAAGGCCTAAGTTTTAAAATTATATACAAATGCTGTATACCAAACTATTTGATTTTGCATGACTGAATAAATCTACCAAAATAAAAATTGAAGTCTTTTATTGTTNCCTGTTGTAACTAAGCTTTAAGTTTACTAAGGTACCTGCATGCCAAATTTCAAGCGTCCAACTTAAGCGGTTTAGATTTTTCATACAAAAGGATTTTCCCGCTAATTCCCATTCCCGTGGGAATTCTTAAGTATCCTATAACCTGCCCAGGAGTATGAAGAATAATTGTACCAAGTTTCGTTAAAATCCGTTGAGCAGTTTTTGTTTCTATAAGGAACATACAGACAGACAGACAGACAAAAATTTTACTGATTGCATTTTTGGCATCAGTATCGATCACTAATCAACCCCTGATAGTTATTTTGAAAATATATTTCATGTACAGAATTGACCTCTCTACAGATTTATTATAAGTATAGATGAATTGTATGGACTGTACTAGATATCTGTTTGTGGCATCACATTTTCAGTAAAGTATTTATCTAAGTACATACAATATTTCAGCAGTTTGTTGAAAGACATCTGCACTAAAAGACACATGGCTATAAAATTATCTTGTTTATTTTGCGTGCATGTTAAAGATATGTAGGTAGGTAACAAAATAAATAACCTACTTAGCATATCTACATTTTAAACAAATTACTTAATAACACAAAGTATAGCTTCTGCTAAAGTTTGTTCAGAAGGTCGATACATAGAAAATTTGCAGTAAATAAAGGAGTTGAAACAATAGTGGTAAATAAATCTTAAAATTAAGTATTTAAATAGGATTGAATATGCCAAGTCCTTGTTTGTCATGATAATCTCTAAAGAATTCTGAATACTACCATATTGTTCTGTGACACTACTTACATGAATTTGTGCAAGTAATGTTTTCAACATCATTATGAAGTTTCCATTTATCTTTGTATTGTTGGTTATAATAATAAAGGTATGTATTTAAGTAACAAGTGCTACAAAAGTTAATTTATGTCTATCGTTGATGCAGAGGGCGAATGAAGAGCATTAATTGGGTCGATCAACTTTTTAACCGACATAAGCTTGTCCCGACGATATCGCATTCAAAAACGACTAAATTAAGATAATTTAAAAATTATTTTTAAGTTCCATTCAATTAACAGTTCAGAAACCTTAATAATAAACATATGAAATCTAGATAATATTAAGAAATAAACATTAAAACTATGGTAACTCAGCATACGACTTCTTGCCTTCCATACAAATTACAGCTGTCCCCAGAGCGAGGTGGCTATATGTAATTTCTAATGTAAGAAAAATTTTCCTTTAAAAGTATTCAAGTCTGCTAATAAATTGCTAATAAATTAAACAAGGTTTAGTTTGTACTTTGTAAAATATAAAAATATGTTATGATTTTAAAGAAAAAAGTCCCTAAAACTGTGTCCCGAATTCATCCCATTTTTTAGTGTATGCAGAGTTACCGCGTAAAAAATAAACAAACATTATGCTACACGTCACAAATTTCTAATGAAGAACGGCGATAAAACCTTTGTTCTTGGCCGCGCGGCGGCGAGCCTTTGATTCCAGCCGCCGCGCGGCCAGGCCGCGGCAAGCTATCGATGAGTGCGCGTGTGTTTATTCAGTGTCGGCGGAGTTACCGGATTATTTCGATGAACAGGTAAATGTTTTTATATTTCTTTATCAGATTTTCAAGGTCTCTAAGGCTGATTTCCCATGGGTCAACTCAAAACGTTTGCAATATTAGGAAATTTTAATTTACAAGCTATTACGTAAAAAATGTCTTCTGAGTTACCTGTATACTGCGTTACAAAAAGGTAACTCTAAAGACAATTTAGGTAACTCTTTAGACATTATACGATTTTCAAAGACAAAGTGTCATAATAAATTTATTAATTACTTTCAGATTGTAAACTCACTAATAATGGCGTTAACGGCGGCCGAAAAGCAGAAAAGGTTCCGTGAAAAATTAAAAAAAAATCCCGAAAAATATGAGGAGGCGAAACGATGTCCTTAAATTTATGAGCCGTTTTTGTGAGGTAACAATATGTGATTGATTTTATTTGAATGATTATTTTATGGTAACAGTAAAAGATGATTAATTACTTCAATTTCAGAGAAAAGTGTGATTTTATTTTAAGTTTTTAAATAAGTACAGAGAAAATTAACAATATGTATGACTCGTTAGTAACTCAGCATACATATTTCTCATATTTTAAGGCCTAAGTTTTAAAATTATATACAAATGCTGTATACCAAACTATTTGATTTTGCATGACTGAATAAATCTACCAAAATAAAAATTGAAGTCTTTTATTGTTTAAGAATTGCAGCGTAATCACTTTGAGTAACTCCGGTGACAAAACTATGGGTCAAGATTTATACTTTTGAGTTTTTTAATAAGAAGTAGTTCATAAAGTTTGCTGCTCGATTAGAAAACCGTATCTCAGATATATTTTTCACACTTCTGAGTAAATGAAATAGTTAAATACTCAAAAAAATATTTTAGTAACTTGCCAAAATTTTTCGCTCGTTATGTCGGTTAAAAAGTTGATCGACCCAATTACCTTTTCAATTTGTTTAAACAAGCCAATTTTTTCAGGGTGAAATAGAAACTAGTGGCACTTTCGATGAGGTGTCTAACTCGCCGCTATTCGAAGAACTGCTTCAAGAGGAAGAGCCAGATGAGTCGGGTCGTCCGCCGGCGATGCGACAGCGTACAATGTCCGTCAAGGTAAATAAAAAAAAACTAAAAACAAAATCTTTTTGCGAGATAAAACAAAAGAATATCACAGTGCCTTTTTCCTGTGATGCAGATTTCGGCAGCTAGGCGTATGGATCTGTGTAAAATCGCTGCTGGTTGCACGCAGGACAAAGATTTCGTATTGTGTGTCCGCAGCTAATCCGCGTTCGTGTAGCCCGCGTAATTGGAAAAACATGTATGAATGAATAATGAAATGCGGGCAGTCCGCATGCGGATGATTAAATCCGCACGTGTGCCTCACACGGTGTCAAATTGCGCTTTGAGTTCAAATTCAAATTCTTTATTGCTCCAATGTTGGTATATAAAAGTTCTTACATATAGACATTGAGTTAAGTGTGTACTGTGTATTCTCGAACGTTATTGTATTGCCCGGATTGCCCCTATTGTCTTTCCTTTATTTATAGATGTAGGTATTCCTAAGCACAGTTGGTAAAGTAGAATACTATTACCTACGTGCGTATTATAACTTTCATATTTTATTATATTTTTTAATCGCATAATAAGGAACACATCTTGTACTTTGATCACATTAAAAGTCTAATGGAATTCATGTCGAAAACTAGTTTCGTATGTCTAAAAATAGATATTATGGTGTAGGCGGGGAGCTCTAAAAATAAGGTAAATCTAGCTATTTATAATTGCGTTAATTACCGCCATTACACAAATTAAAAGTAGTGTTGCCTACTCAGATTTTATTAATTTTATTTGCTAAGCTAGGTAAACTATTTAAATAAAAAAGGAAATCTATTAATAAAAACATAGCGATAATATTATTTCAGAAAAAAAAGAAAACCAGCGGTCGAAATACTTTTAATGTAGTAATGGTATGTTGATTTATTCGTTGAAGCAATAAAAACCGTCTCGTGTAGATATAAGTAGGTACACAGTTAAAAAAAGATTTTTGGTTTAAAACTACAAGCTAACATACATTAATTAATTGTTAGGTACCTATTTCATTCAGAAAAAATAAATAAAAATAATATTATGTTACACGCGTTCTGGTATAGGTACTAGTGTTATTTCCTTGCATCATGAATTAAAAAATAAATAGAGATGTGGGACAGTCGCTCACTGCTTTAATAGTCTCATTAAAACAATCAAGCTCGATTAGTCCGCGATGCTACATGATGAAACAGATGAATAACACAAAACAAAGATCCCATGGCTAAAGTAACGCGACGAGACATTCAAATGCTTGGCAGCTTAAATCAATACCTTACGTAATAATAAAAACCAAGGCCGGATAATTATAGTTACAAACGAAAATGACACACAAATTCATGGAATTACATACTTCGTTAATTACTTTGTTTTGTAATTGTTAAATTTTAGTAAAGCTTTTAACGTCGTTTTTAACGTCTACGCTAATGGTAGGTACTCGTAGAGTTATTACGCTCTATATTTATTATATACCATTATCACATTAATAAAATCGACTTGGTTTTGTGTGATTTTTTGCTCAAAAAACAGGATTTCAGTGATTTTTCTTTTTTCGATGATATTATTATAGTCCTCTATTTCGGTATGTTTCTGACCTAAATCAATTTTTTTTTATATTGTTATCTCAAAATATGTCTTTTAAAATAATTAATTCACATTATTTCGGTCAAGCCGTACTACATGTAGGAAATAAATACTCCGTCCTTCGAAATCAATAGATTTTTTTAGTTTTTCAGTCATCCGGGCGTGTTTTATCGCGAATTGGTAGAATTAACGAGACAATTTAATTTTAAATCTGGTAGGTGTACCTATCACAAAAATGACGCTATGTACTGAGTCTATGAATAGGTAGCTCTACAAGACAACAAAGCCTAGATTATAATCGCTACCTATCTAACTTTGTAAATCTTACACTGAGTTTGTACCACCTACGTCATTTTGTGGTCAGGTGGCGCTTGGTAACGATGACTTGCGAAAAATTGATCTTCATCTGTTGTTGTAACTCATTTAAGTTGTTTACATTTTTTTTTAAAGTTTATCAACTACTACAGAAGTTAAACACCCTTATCGTTAACATAACTTTTAGATTCAGTTTTTTAGTGTCATCGTTAGTCAGTAACTGTTGTATAAGAGTATGAAAATTCACAAAACAAATACATTAATTAAATCCGGGATGACTAAATGAGATCATTTTTTATTTATTAAGTAGATACTGGGTAAGTCCTTAGCTTTAATAGATACGAAAATAGGAGCTGCTCGTAAAGTTGTTAAAAGTGCAAACAAGATTTACTTTACGCAGCTGCAAGGTTGCAAAAATAAATCAACAAACATTTCCTACTTTATAATCTGTCTGCGATCATGTTCCGTACTTAATAATACACACAATTCTATTCCTCCGCGTGTTTCATACGTTTTAGAAACAGATAAGAATAACAAATGTTTACGTTATTGCACACTCAGAGATAAATACTTAGGTATTATTGCAGTATGCGCGATTTACACCAAGTAGGTAGGACTCTACAGTATTGGGTCTATGACAATATTTTTGTATTACAAAGAGTACCCATCTAATAGCCACAATAGCCCAATGGCGAAGTGGTCGGACTGGCCGACTCGAGATGAAGAACGCGGGTTCGAATCCCACCGCGCTCGATTATTGTGGTGAGCCCACTCATAACACAAGCATATTTACCACGAGGGACTATTAGTAATTTGTGTAATACAAATTGCTAATAATCTTTAAAAAAATACCTTTTAGAGTTAGACTTTTCTATTATTAATGGAGCTAAGATGATCAAGTTCAATTTGCCTTGGTACAAAAATGAGTTGACTTTAAGATTAAATGTTCATTACATCATATCAGTTGGTGAATATGGTGCTAATCTATCGATGCAATAATGGAGATAACTAATCTATATTATAAGTTAGATGAAATTTTTGGCACGTGCCTTCGTCAAAAAAGAATCAATAAAACCAGTGTACCTACACTCTACTACATCTACTTAATTAGTACCTTGGTATCTGATTTTCTCTTCGCCCAATTTCGGAAAATTACTCGTATAGGCAGTCGTAGCTTTCCTAAACGCAAAAACATTAGTCACATGATAGTACATATTTAAAACACGTGGTTTGTCAAAGTTGCGTTGTATTACCTACTGACAAGTTTAAAGACAAAATACTATTGCTTACAATACATTAACCATCAATCTCTACCAACTATACTCGTACTAGTAATCAAATCAAATCAAATCTAAATTTATTTTTTGTTTTCAGTCTTACTCGAGCGTCAGCACAGTGAATGAAATAGGAAATGTTGATAATGTGGAAGAAGAAGAAGACGCGGAATTAACCGGATCAGGTATTCAATGAATAATTAAACCATAGAATTTCAAAACCGACAAAATAGGGGCTTTAAGTCATGCTACGTTGATAATTAGCTAGCTAGACGATAAGGCGGTTAATTATTTATAACAAAACGTCCAGTCCAAATGAGATCATTATGGAAAATACTGCTGAATCGTAACTAGGTAGATACTGTTTCAGTCATGCAAACGAAGTCAAGTAGAAAATGCAAATTAATACTAGTAGAGTGGTTGTTAATTTTGGTACTTAACGGTTTATCATGTAATTTTTTGTTAAGGTCGAGTATCAGCATCGGTGTACGTGAAGTATTTCCGAGCCGGCGGTGGCTGGTGTATGCTATTGTTTACGGTCCTGTCCATTATCATGGCGCAAGTAATCACTTCAGCTAGTGACCTCTGGCTTACGCATTGGTGAGTTTTTCTTTTCGTATCATCAAACGGTCTGATAACGCGTCCGACACAACTTCCTATCATCATCCTATCTATATTCGTATCATGCCATAATATCATCGTAATTACCAGACTGAGTTTCACGTATCGTTATTTATTATCGGACAATCGGTTTGATTGCAGCCAGCTGATCTAAACAAAATTGGGAACCCCCGTACATTATACCATGTCTTTTTAATGGAGACTTCACCACTAAATACTATTAGTGCAGTCGAATTACAACTTCTCTAATAATTAGTGCGCCTCGTTAGCAAAAATTGAGGTCACCAATTCACCGTGATTCGTGGTCGACATTAGCATCTGCTATCACGCCACAATCGGATCGTCCCGGTTTATAGTGGCTTCCGAAGTACACAATAGGTTTCTTTAAATGGCATGGCAATGAATTAAAGTTGAATTTGATTTTAGGATGAATGATATAGAACTTCAGTACACAACAGCTGCAGCAAGGGAGGAGCTAGCAAATTTGACTAACTTGAATAACACGAATAGCTACAACGACACCGAATTTACCAGCGTTACGACTGAAACCCCATTGACCACCACAGATGGACGTAATCTCACCGTACTGGATACTATGGTTAAGACAGCCCTCACAATACAAAGCATTGCTGCCCCAAATGTAGACCACTCGTGGTACATTTACATATGGACAGTTGGAATTATTGGCTGTGTTCTGTTAACTACTTGGAGGTGAGCATTTTCTGCTACTTTTTTGTAGGTACCTGATAGCTATAAAAGAACACCTTATTGCGCCTTAAGTGCATAAGATAAACTTTATCATCATGACAACTTAGGGACGGAAGTATCTACGCGCTATCTATCATGTAGAGAATAATATCTCGACTTTGCAACAGATTTCGCCATTCTATTTCCACTCACTTTTTTAAAGTAATTAGTTAGGTTTAAAAGTTAACGATGCTGAGACGAGTGAAATATTGTTCCTTGATTAGTTACTTAAGTAATCACGTAAAAATACTTTCTAACCATGTTTTATGAATGAAAATTTATCAACTAATAAAATTATCTTTTCAGGTTAAGCTATCTATTTAAAAAGCGTTGATTAATGCCCTACTACTACAGTAGTAAATAGTAGGTAATATTACCCAGACATAATAGTTGATAGTGTTAGGTACCTAAATGGCGCAGCGTAGGTATCTTTTATAATGTGTTTTATCTATCAGACTCTATTTTACTATTACTCGGATAAGATAAAGTTTTTTGTTAGGTGAAAAGTATGAATAACATTTTCTATTCCTAAAAAAATCTTTGCAGATCCGTGCTGTTTCTATGGGTGTGCATGAGAAGTTCCATAAGGCTACACAACCAGATGTTCGGTAACATTCTTGCGGCCACCATGCGATTCTTTGACACTAACCCCTCGGGAAGAATCCTTAATCGGTTTTCCAAGGACATGGGCTACGTTGACGAGATCCTACCGAGAATGTATTTGGACAGTATTCAGGTGTGTAGAAGATGACACCAAAGGCCCACCTTTGCTAGTATTTACGATTACATATTATGTACGAGATAAGGTTTATTTATTTTGTCTGGATAAATAGATTTGAACATCCTGTTACTTCACTTAGTTGGTACTGGTTACACAGAAAAAAGTTTCTTTCGGAACCATTTTTTCGACTCTACTTTTTTGTCTCGATCACTTATAACTTTGTGTTTCTAATGAGGTCAAATGTCGTTTTCTAGGTGTTCATGGTGATGTCGGGAATTTTAGTGATGGTGGCGATTGTCAACCCCTACATGTTGCTGACAACGGCCGGCTGCGCAGTGCTCATGTATGGCTGGACCATGATCTACCTCAGCACAGCACAGGCAGTTAAAAGGTTGGTGATAAGTAACGTTATTATTAGTTACAAATCTTAAAAGTTCAAAAAACTTTTTTAAGCAGAGATTTTAAAGCAGAACCTGTAGGTCTTTAAAATCACATGATTCACGATGAATTAGGTAAGTAGTAAAACCATCTAATCATTGTAGCTTGCAAAATCAAAACTCACAATGATTTGACCGTAAAACCAAGCCGCAAAGAGAGTGATAAGTGAACTATCTAGACTTTGATTTATTTCTGACAATCTGGGCTATGCCAATGATGTAATAGAATGATAAGTAAATAAAATGATTCTCTTCTTTATTCACAGTGGTTATATTTATCTTTGTGTAATACAAACACAATACAGTTAAAGTTATACTGTGATCAAGTCCAAAGTTCGCGTTTATCGGCACATTATTTTATCCAATTTCCTTTAAAAACGAAGCTTGTCGCATTTTCTCAACTATTTTTTATCATGTTTGAATCATCTTTAATATTCTTCAGCATCAGCTGGTTTTCTTCTTTCAAAGAAACAGGTTCACCAGCTTTAAGCTAGTTTCCCACAAATGCCACGGTCATAGTTAGGGTTAAATTTAGCAGCCAGTCTTGATACTCGTAGATACGCGCAATCATCGTGCGTCTTCATGGGAAATATTAATTATCATCATGCACGGGTGCTCTTAGCTATCACATGGGTCCGAAGAAGATGGATTAAGTACAACATCAATGCTCGGAGTTTAGGAGATAGTAGCACAGAGGCGATAAGGGAATTTCGTTCCCACCGTGTGTTCTATGTATAACACCTGCCTTTACTTGGTTATCAGGATAGTAGATATTCTATTTTGTCATTTATAAGCCCCCACTGCAGGAGCACGACCTTCTCTGATTTATCAGAGGCATATGGATGATTTGGCTGGTCATATGGTTTGGGGAATGCTGTTCGAATATTTGTGCCTTAGTCACGACATTCGCGGGAAAAGTCGGTCTTCGTAGGTCCTATTTTCTCTCCTGGAACAACTCATGCCCGTATCATGCTAATTACTGAACTAATTTATCTCCAGGGTGGAGGGCGTATCCCGTAGCCCTGTGTTCTCACACGTATCGGCCAGCATGGCGGGGCTGTCAACGGTGCGCGCTTGCGGTGCGCAGGAGTTGCTGCGCAAGCAGTTCGACGATAAACAGGACGTGCACACTGCCGCTTGGTAAGTCACGGGAATGAAATTACAAAATATATTTGGATTTGAGATGATCTGATTGAAGATGAAGTAAATCTGGCGAAGCGCTGGTAGAGCAAAAAGATATTGAAGACATGTAAATCTGAATTGGGTTGAATCAACCTGATTTTCAAAAAAATAAGCGCTTGCTGCTGAGAACTTACACCCATCTGCTTGGGTATCTACGTACAAACTTTCATAGAATGTATTGTACATTCTCTGAAAATGCGCATGTGGTACAGATATCCGATGAGTTGGGTGGGTATTCGGCAGGTATCGGATGCAAAATTTAGACAAATAAGTACCCGTGAGGAAGTGTAAGGAATGGGTGTAACGGTCTTAGACGCAGTTGTAAATAAAATGGAGATGATTTTTCAGCAGCAGGACAGCTAAAGCCAAAATAAGTTTGTTACGAGTACCTATCTATGTGCAATGTTTGTTTAGAGAGTGCTATCCCGGTATTAATTAGGGACATTACATTATTAAGCCATGTAAATGTGTATATTATGAGCTATTTAATTGTCTTTTTTTTTCAGGTATATAACTCTAGTTACAAATACCGCCTTCTCCGTCTGGCTGTGCCTCATATCTGCCCTCTACGTTGTCATAGTCTCGTATACGTTCCTGCTCATGGATGATGGTAAGATCTATATCGATTTTTATCTGACATGTTAGATATATTATGACACATTGACTACGATATCTTGTGTTGCGTATTTCCCGGCATTTATATTTGTAGATAAGTCTATATCACTTTTTTATCAACCCATGGTACTAAAGTAAATAGATGCCCTTGATTTTGGCGATACTATAGTAAAATGGCAATAGATATTAATTAATATTATGAAATAATATATCCTTGGTGATTCGCTTTAAATGATATAACCCGTGCCTGCCGATGGTCTTTGTTTCAGTCTAATTTATAAATTATTTTCTTCCTTCAGGGAATACGCAGTCTGGCAACGTCGGGCTTGCTCTAAGTCAGGGCTTGATTTTGGTCAACATGGTTCAATACGGGGTTAAGCAGGCCACAGAAGTTATATCTCAAATGACGAGTGTGGAACGTATCATACAGTTCACGTCACTGCCCCAAGAGAACACCTCAGGTCCCTCCCCTCCGAAAGAATGGCCTCAGAGAGCTAGGCTCGTCTTCAAAGACCTCAACCTTCGTTACGACGTTGATTCGGAACCTGTTCTAAAGAATCTAAACATCGTAATTGAAAGCGGTTGGAAAGTGAGTAGAACTTTTTTATCATAATAAAAACGTTGGAAAAGGTCGGACACCTACTAAAATTAATCTTTACTTTTTCCAGGTGGGCGTCGTAGGACGCACAGGCGCTGGTAAATCATCATTGATATCAGCACTGTTCCGACTGGCGCCTATTGAGGGCAACGTGTATATCGACGATGTTGAAACTGGAGAGATTGCTCTCAAAGTAAGTTTAAAACTTATCTATACGTACTGATAATAGTATCAGTAGGGTTTAACTGAGATTTGTAGATATGAGTAGGTTTTTTATTGACATCGTATTCTAAATGGTACCTACTTTTTTCTAGGAACTGCGATCAAAGATCTCAATTATTCCTCAAGAACCCGTTCTGTTCTCCGCAAGTCTCCGCTATAACATGGATCCGTTTGACAAATACACCGATGCTGATATATGGAAGGCATTGGAGCAGGTAATTAATTTTAATTCCTATAATAGTGGATTCATATGCCAAAAGCATAACTTCCAAAATAAAACGCTGTAGGTATTTTCTTTTTCGGCTAATCACAATAGTAAAAAGCGAAGCCCTTATCTGAACACAATCAAAGCAATCTAAAGATAACGCAATTTATTATGACATATTTTTAGACATTCGCTAGTAGATCAAGGATTAATTGGGTAGGTAATTCCCGTTGACCTAGAATCATGAAAATACAGGACACCGAAAACCATGATAATAAAAAGGGAGATAATGAATAATTAATGAAAGGATCGACATCTCATTGCGCGAATTAAATCACGTGATCGTTTTTAATTTGATGGATGATAACTTTCTGGTATCAGGTGGAGTTGAAGAAGAGCGTGACGTCTCTGTCTGCGCCGGTAGCGTCGGGCGGCACCAACTTCAGCGCGGGGCAACGGCAGCTTCTGTGCCTGGCGCGCGCCGCGCTGGCTCGCAACAAACTGTTGGTGCTGGACGAGGCCACCGCCAACGTCGACCCCAAGTATGTACAGATATATTAAGTTTTTTTTATCCACAATGAGGAAGCTCTTGGCCTGTATCTCACCTGGTGGTAAGTGACGATCAGGCCGAAGTTGGAAGCGAGCTTCACCCGGAATCCTCAACCACGGAGGAACTGGCTATCTTACCTCTACTTAACTGCCAGAACACAACAATGTGTGTTTCATAGTGATACACATATCAGTCTGTCTCAATAGTAGTCGACTTTTACATCGAGAGCTGATCTGCTGAATAAAAGCTTTTAGCAAGGATTTCTACAACGACCACTCCTACGTAGCCCATGTCTAGGATCTTCCCGCATTTTTACTAGGCCCTCGCGTCCTCGGTCCATCGAGAACTCTGCTTACAACCTACGTCCTTCTGTGCGTAATCGTTTCTCGAGAAGGTTTCTGCTCCATCGACCAACCGCTCTACGAGCTCTCCCACTGGAACTTGAGTTTGCTAATTTTGCACTCTATAGCGGTTACTTCAGTAATTTATTGCAGGCTGGATAAGGCTTGTTTGCGTCTATTGCTGTAATTACGATTTTAATCAAGAAAAATTACTTCTTTCTTCGTTTCAGCACCGACACCCTTATCCAGAAGTCCATTCGTAAATACTTCGCCGATTGCACCGTATTGACTGTTGCGCATCGCTTGCACACTGTTGCCGATTCAGATAGAGTGGTCGTAAGTATTATTACATATCGTAAATGTTTAATAATCTTATCATATTTTGGGGATTCAATATAATAAATGATCTATATCTGTTTCTGATTAGGTGATGGAAGCGGGCCGCATTATGGAATGCGGGCATCCCCATGAACTTCTACAGAACGAGGAGGGTCACTTCACAAAAATGGTGAAGCAGCTTGGTAACGCCGCCGAGCAGAGCCTTCGCGACCTTGCCGCCAATGCTTACGCCCAGCATATAAAGTACGTTGACGCGGAGGATACTCAAGCGGCGTAGAAACAAAATAGGCTTTCCAATGTGATAATTAACACAGATAAAAACAAAATAATTCAAAATGCTAATTGTCTCTGCCAAACTGCCTAATATGGTCACCTACATGTTTGGGAAAATATAACTATAAAGGAATGAATGCCTTCACACAGGTTAGGAGGATCGTAAAGCCAATGTGATATTTAATTACCCAGATGAACAATTTAGTAGACGTGGAAAATGGTGATCACCTTCGTTTTATATTTTCTCATCTAGCATTCAACTCCTATCAAGAAACTACTTTTGTGCGTAAAAGTAAACCGTATACGTACGCGTTATACCTACTAGGTACTTAGTATATCATAAACTTGCCACGTGTAAAGATGTAAATAATCAATCTATCTCTGCGTAGAAGATAAGGTCATTCCACTGAGGATTGATGATAACGCGTGTACATCTAATTATAGTAGATAATTATTCAGTGGCACAACTTCAAATACCAATGCCATTGATTAAATAAAATTACATTGCACTTTTTGCCTTGCACTTGTATCAAATCACAGAAATGTGATGTTGTTTTATTCGAATTTAGTTTTTAAGTTAGGCATTTTTTAAATTAGGTACTTATTAAGTAAAATCGTATTTTATATACTTAAGTAAAATACTTAAATAATGAAGACTCGTTGGTTCATTTTTTACGAACTGTACGGCCTTATCTACTTATTTTTAATGGATGTGATGTGAATTAACTATTGAACCAAAAAGTACTTAGAAATATGTACCTACTTAAGACCATCTTGATATACAAAATACCATATAATTTATATAAATAATAACTTATTTTTCGAACCTAAAAAATAGTGAAATTGGTGCTAATTATGAAGAGGCCTTAGTACTTATTTGTCTCTTTACTTTTATGCCTGCCTATTGTCATAGCNTGCTGTGTTTTTAAACCAAAAACCACGATCAAAATGTGACGTTAATCTTCAAATTTGCCAAATTATTTTTAGATTTTACTCAATAATGGTAATGAAATTCAAGAATCTATTTCATTAATGAACTACAAGAATATATGTCCGATGATAAATATATATTTTTAAGTTTATTATATGAGCAGAAATAATAGATACAGGACTTTGAAAATGAGTCTGCGGCAATTTTTTCGTAAAATGGTTGTGGGAGATGGGGCACTGTGAATTAAGCAAAAGAGTTTTAGTAAATCCGTTTCATTAATGATCAACAACAAGGATTGACCTATCTTTCGCAGTTATTAAATAATCTCTGGGTGTTGCTTAAGATAGTCATTCATGCTTCCAAAATCTTAGAAATTCGCACGAAAATGTAAAATGGCTCTTAAACAACGACGCTCCAGTGTGTAGGACTAGCTTGTTACGCAGAAGGGCTCTGAACCTGCATGTGTTAACTCTACAAAAATAACAAGCCTCTCGGTACAAGAAGCTTCCTTGGATTTTCAACTCTATAGTATACATTTTAAGTTTTTTATAAATTTTAAAAGGGTAAATCGGGCTACAAGCCTTTTCCAAATACGAGTAGATCACGTTCTTGTACACTGTCAGTACCTCTAGTACGAAAAACTTTCGAGTTCGTTTCGTTGCGTATTCAAAGTGTCATCGAAAAATTTTGTATGAAAAATTAAACAGCGCCCCCTATATTATAGCCGCCCTAGGGGGCGCTGTTTAATTTTTCATACAAAATTTTTCGATGACACTTTGAATACGCAACGAAACGAACTCGAAAGTTTTTCCTACTAGAGGTACAGAACGTAATATTATTGCGTTCTGACGCTAGTAGAGTCAAGTTGTGTTTTATTGCGACAGTATTTTATTCTCAAACAGAGCGTGCTTATGTCAGAACGCCGCATACTGCTAAAATACTTGTTTTGTTCGAAGAGAGCTTAAAAGTGGAAAAAACGTGGAATAAGTAAACGTTTTTGAAAAGCTCAAAGTATTTAGTAGTGTCTGACCGAAACTAGTTTTACGACCGAAACCGAAACCGAAAACGAATTTCGGCAACGGTGTCTATTTCGGCCGAAACCGAAACCGAAACTTCCTTACAAGGCTCATATTTTGAGGAAAAAATAAAGAAAACGTTATTATAATCAGTCAGACTTTATTGTTTTCTCTTTAAATTGCATTATAAAATTGAACTTATAAAGTGCCTTTTTACTCTAAAAGGTATCAAATTATGTATTAAAAAAGAAAAAGAAGGATTTATAGTCTAGACTTTTTTTAATTACTCGCAATATTCAGGACATATAACCCGTCCCATGGTCGGATCTTTTACCTTAATAATTTCTCAACAAAATTGGTAGTACGTAAGTTAGTCTACTGTACTTGCCACTTGGATACCTTGGTGATAAATACTAAAATGAACTTTGAAACTCTGAATCCATAATATTATCACCATGAAATGCACTATAGTCATTACTAACTACTTAACTAATGTTTGTTTACGTATAGCATTGCGAACCAAAAAAAAATTTATAGGTTAGATTAAACTTGATTATACTTTTATGAGTCATATTGAATTTTTTTTTTATGTTTACACCCGCTCTTATGTTATAACGACATAAAACGAGATAAAACTTACCAAATTCAAAATAAATCACTCGAAAACTCGCCACTAAATACTAACTTCAAACAAACAAGCGAGTGAATCACGACATTGGCTCTGATCGGATTCATTCTTTCATTCAACACGCCGAACATGACCGATAACAGCGCGGAAACTCCCGAATGCGCACATTCGGTTTCGGTCGTAGTTTCGGCAAGTTTGCCGCCGAAAACGAAACTAAACCGAAACTCGTGTTTTTACCGAAACTCAACCGAAAACGAAACCGAAACCGAACATTCGGTCGGACACTAGTATTTAGTAAAATATTCAACAAAACTTTGAGTGCCTTTGTTGAAATGAAAAAAGAAACTGTAGTTAAGTTTTGTAAGATCTTCTCGTTTCGAGGTATGACTCTATAACCCTTGGTAGCTTCATTTAACTTTAGCGTGAACTTGCGAAAACCATAAATGGATAAAGGATTTTTTTACTTCAAAGAACTGTACTGTTCTTTAGGGACAATCGCAGAATGCCCGCGTTTTATTGGATATGTTGATGTAATATAAGTTAAAAGATAATTTGCAACTATTTGTATAAGTTGAACAGTAAATCTGATTGGGATTGGTCTATTGAATATTTATTAATGCTTGAGAATTTAAATAAATTAATGGAAACCAATTTGCCTCCAAATTTAATAAGCCCAACAAAGGTTGTTGGGCTTAAAGCTCCATGTTCAAAACAGCGTTTGTATGAAACAAGTAGTTCTCAAAACGTCTATTACTATCCTTCAAATTCACTTACACCATGCAAATTGGTCGGCGCCTGCCGAAATGGAATATTCTTACGAGTGGAAATAGTTTTCTAGAATAGGGACTTAAACAGGTATATCATCAAGCAAAATCCCTTATTCAATTTGCATCCTACTTTCAGTATAGGGTCATTTTAGATCTTAATATAATGGAGTAAAATTTAACTCTTTAAAATTAGAAGAAATTAGTTCAGCGATTTTAACACACAGTACATGCTACTTTGTACGCACATCGAGTTCATACGAATAAAAATGTGAGGTACAGTAGAACGCCGATTATCCGAACGCCGATTAACCGAATCGCCAATTATCCGAATCGATCCTAAGCATAATATAAAAAATTAAAACCAAGTAATTTTTATTTTGTTTTGTTGTAACAAGGTGGAACTCGCAGGAGTCTAGATATATTTCAACTGAACGTTATTGTAGAACTATAAACACAGTTATTAAAGTTTATTCTATGTGTGACAGTTCGTTTTTAACACGCTTTTTCTTTATTAACAGTCTATTTTCGATTATCCGAATCGACCCCGGTCCCAATTAATTCGGATAATCGGCGTTCTACTGTATTCTTCGAAGCGCACCCATTTTCAGGCGCACCAAATGAAGCGTACCTATGTTTATTAATACAAAAAAATATGTCTACTAAAATAAATAAAAGTACTAGGACAACATAGCATGGTGCGCTTTGAAGAATAGTTTAGGTACGCCTCAAAATGGGTGCAAAATACATAATGAAAGTTCATGAAACCTTAAGGACCTGTAGAAAAATGTCCATCATAATTTGTTTGGAAGTACAAAAACTCAGCAGTGTTCGCGCGTAAATCCACAGTGTTTTGCCTTGAAGGAATTTATACCGCTTTACTTTACGTCAGTGAGTAAAGACCTTTAAATGAAATAACCCTCCTTTAAGGCTTTAGTCGGGCAAACAGAAAAATGCCAGCTATTTTATAATACTTATCTGCCCTCTTGTCTATAAACTCTGCCTTGATGGACTACAAAAATGTTTATAATATTATACTCGTAACATTAACATAGGCTATTAGCGTTTAGGAATTTAATTATAATAGAACGCTTGTTGTTTCACATTGCATGTTGTCTCTGTTTAAATCAACAATGTATCTAGGTTGGCAGTGTTGCCACACCTCGTGGACTGTTGTGTGAACTAACAAATAACTAACAAGTTTGCCGTGGAGTATGAGTATGAAGAATAGTGTGTAATGGCGTAAATAGGCAGCAGGCCCATTGTTCATGTTCCCTAGAATCCCCTTATCTTAAAACAGGTATTAATGACACGCTTTTATTAGGTCGTCGTCGTAACTAACTAAAAAATGGAATCTAAGAATCTGAATTACATGCACTTCTAATTATTTTATCATCTTGAAACTTGGCAATTTGTAAAGTAGATGACAATACAATATTATGGTACCATCTAGCTGATCTGATGATGGGACTGGAAGGTGGCCATAGGAACTCTTAAACAAAACGGCGGAATCGCATCGAGTTTGGGTTCATTGGATTTGTCTTTTCAAGCACTTTAGTGCTAGATGATGTCCAGGGTTCTGATGATGGAGTCGGGTGGTGTCCATAGGAACTCCTAAACGAAACGGCGGAAACTTATCGAGTTTGGGTTCGTTGGCCTTTTAGTGCAGTAATTAAAAGCGAGTTTTTATTTTTTTTAACTATTATGTTCAGTAAGGAGGTTTTAAGTGAGCCTCAAGTACATTAGTTACCACATGAGTAAAGAAAGACTACTCTTGTGCACTTACTAAATTTATTTTGGTACTTTTATGTGCAGTCGCGGAATGAAAAGGTTCGTCACCTAAGTGTCGGTTTTCGCTTGCACCAAAGAGTCAAACCTGCCAACATAACAGTGCAAGAAACATTTAAATAAACATGACGTTTGCTGACGAATAAGGTTTTGCTTGTTTATTTTTCTATCCCATCAGTGCAATGCAATGATGACATTGACCAATTGACAATAGTTTTTTTTTTAATAGACATAATAATGGCAGGTTGAACCAACAAGAAGGTTTTAGTTTATCAATCATAATAATCTTCTTGACAAGATAAATCGTCAAACAACTTTGATCTGAATAATTTTGAACTTTACTGACGAACAGTTAAAGATTATTTTCTCTAACTCGAGATTATTCTGTAACATAGTTTCAAAAGGTAATATGTGCTCGCGATTCGTTGAAGGAATCAATTTGAAAACTGACGAACCTTTTCATTCCGTGACTGTACATTACATGATTTTCAAAGCACTTGACTACTAGGTTAGTGTTTACCATTACTTTAGAAAAACTTAATAAAACTGCGACAAAAAATTAATTACAATAGTAATTTTACGTGCTACACGCTAAATTGTTAAAAATGAAATAAACAAACCCTTTGTTGATAAGAACTTCACGCACGCACGACGTGGTTTTTCTTCTATAACTTCTTCTACCTACTTTATCTACTTATACTAGAACGTGTCAATCGCAAACTTACTCTCTTCTAACTTAAAACGAGTCTATGATAGTCAGTTCTAAACTGCATGTTTCTTG